ACTCTCCCGCCCGAGAATTGATCGGTCGTCCTTGCAAATATATTTGGCGTTAACCCGTCAGCGGGAATATTGCTGGAACGGTGAGAAATTTGCCATAGCGCACAGGATATGCAAGAACAGGGAACTTTATGCGTTGCATCGTGTGCATAAATCCAAGTTTGCAAGGGAGCCCTTCGTCCCTATCCGTATTAGATGGCTGCTAGACGGATATCTATGTGCTGGTATAGTCTACGTACATATGTGTTCTATCCTCCGTTATTCTCTTTTCGATAATATCGATCCTACCACATGGTCTTCCTCTACTTTTTCTCCTAGATTTTTCTGCTATCTTTTCCCTCCTCGCAAAGAAACAGCAAATAAGGGTCGTAGATTGCTTGTTTTTCGTTAGAAACCAAACGAACGAAGCGATTTTTCTTTTCTAATCATTAGAATTTTCTATTATAATATTAAAAGAAAATTAAGAAAATTAATTTAATAAAAAATTAATTTGAATAGAAAATTGTACTAGGGTAGTTTATGTTGAATAATTGATCTCTCTTTAAATTGCTTAGGTTAATTCGTGGTCCAAAAGTTGTTAGCAAAGGAGATCGAAAGTGAGAACTGAAATATTTAATCAAGATAAAAAATTGTAACGATAAATTCGAGTAAAAAAATTATTTATTAAATGCTTTCAGACAAATACCGTTAGAATTCCGTTAGAATTTTTTCTGGAAATAATGGTCAGATTGTGTAATATACTGATGGGTATAAATAAGAGCAACAACAGCTTATGCTCTAAATGTACAAAGTAATCCAACAAATATTTAATAATAGCCAGATAATAGTAATATTTAAAATTTGTACTCGTTCTTTAACGGTAAAAGTGTAAGAGATGTAATTAGACTGCGGATTTTTATTCATTTATAGGAAATGCGAATGCGAAAGAAATTACAAAATGCATATACATATAGTATGCAATAATATAAAAAAATATTGAAAGTAAAATTCCTATTATAATATTTGCAGAGAAAAATTAATTCTCACTTATGTTACAGTTTTGTAGGTACGCTTGCAAAGATTTTATTTTGGATAAAGATCCGCAGTCTGGATATAACGTACCGCACGTGGCCTAAGATTTTTGCATAGTACATCCCTCTAATCTTTATTCTCTAAATATCACAGTCGCATATATCATTTGTAAACTTTTTCTCATCTATGTTTCACTGCATTACATCGATTGTGGGGATTTTGCAAAAATATGCAAGGTAACTCGAAACTGCGAAAGAGGTGGCGTATTTTTTCTCCACAATTTTATTTTATTTTCCCTACTCGCAATGTTATCAAATGGAACAGTTTCGTTACTGACAGTGGTTGCGCATTTTTCTATCTTTTGGTGCATTTCGCTTTTGTTCGCTCGAAAATTGAGGTACTCTAAAAATATTCGGCTAGTGTGGACCATCAAAATTTCGCGGCAAATTTGTAAATTTCGTGCTTTTCGTGTCCGCAGGCGCGTATCCAGTACATTTCCTCATTTCGCAACCGTTAATTTCTCGGTTACAATTTCTGTAGAAAAGAAAAATAGCGGTGCTTTGTTCCGTGAACTGTAATCTCTCATTAAGCTCTGAAATAGCAGTAATAGAATGAAACGAAAATAATTCTTTTACGCAAAACGCGAAGGATAGTTGAATCAAAAGTGGACAGAAATATTATTATGAAAAATGATAGCAACGGTTAATTAACATGAATTATTTTTACCGGAGAGATTGAGTCGAGCGTACATTAAAATGGAATGATTTAGGTAATTACATTTATTTTAAAACTTAACCTTTGATTGCTGCAATATTTTCAGAACACCTTATATATAGAAATGTGACAACATGGTAGACTCGAGTAAATTGCAGACAATATCAGCAAACATTCGCTGATGAAAGCTACTAATTTCTTCCGCAGGTCTTCATACAGTCGGCCATTTTGCATCCGCCATTTTGATTTTTAAAATTTTGATTACAGACTCGTAATTAGCGAATTGAAAAACCCAGCGTACGAAATTTCATACAAATCTGATAACTTTTTGACGTACAAGTCGGCCATATTGGATCCGCCATTTTAATTTTTAAAATTTTGCTTACCTACAGATAATTTTGTTCCGCAACTTGCTACCGATTTTATCTTCCGAATAACTGTTCGTTCATCGAAGGAGAGGATGAACGTGCTCTCGTCGCCATCGAATAGCGCTCGAAAATTACCAGAGCTTTTGGTACGGTTTGTCGTGACGATGTTGAGAGTTTGATTGAAAACAATCCCTGTTCAGTGGGTTCGTGCACGGACTTCGAATCGAATCGATCGGATATATCACCGATGGCCAATAGGTCGTCGAAAATCGTTTCGTTGCGCTGATTTAGCCCTCGTTTTCCTCGTGTGCTGATACCTTCTCTGCGTTGATAGCTTATCGAGCAGTTTTTATCGTTTATCTGCGGTCCATCGATTAAAGAGTCAGCATTTATGAATTCATTGGCTCGGTGTCCGTGGCACTGCATTTGCTGGAGCGCGCGTGTTGGTTCGCCAGCAGTTGGTGTGTTAATTGAACGCGTCGTTTACGAAATATCGTTCGCGTGTCGATGAGATGTAACTACAAGCAGTACGAAATCGTTTCAGCTAATAATTTCGCGTGCGTTTGTTCGCACAATATTCAAATAAACTTTTAGAATGTTGCATGGCGTTTCGTACTAGACAAAATGGTAACGAATGAAGAGAGTAAGTTTTCAAATTGTGGAACACTCTTTACGGGTAAAAGAAATTTAATGGAATCTAGGCACCGGAATAAGGAACAATTCAGCAATTTATTTAACGAAAATTGGAATTTTCATATAAATCTAATAACTTTTTGGCATACAAGTCGGCCATATTGGATCTGCCATTTATTAAGATATATTTGAAATTACTATCGTCGGTAAACCCCGGTATACGAAGTTTCATACAAATCAGAACGTTCCTTATATTCGGTCCGGGTTTTCGAGTCATTTGAACCATTGTGCGTCGTTATGCTGTCTGGCACACATCGGTCAGAACGTACCGGTGCGACCGTACTTGTCAAAGGGTTAAGGATAACTGAAGACAGAGTAATTGAAAATAAAATAATAGATAAGAATTTTACGTTGACGTATCATTTATTCCTATTTTAAATTACGCGGCTCTTAGAATGAATAAGCCGGTGAACGGAACACGGGTTCGAATTATTTACGACTGAATTCTAACGCAAAAGATGCCACCTTTGTTCCACTTTCGTCCATTGCATCTACTCGATAGTACCTACTGTTCCATAGATCAATGTTATCCCGGTGTTCCTGATCGTTTAATAAAAGTCGCGACACACAGGACCGATCGGGAATAAACGGAATCGATATTCAACGCTGTCTGAAATTCGAAACTGAACTGTCTGGTACCAGAGGAAAGGGATCGCGTGTCCTCCCGTTTCGGGATGTGACTTAAATACTGAATAAAGGGCCGTGGATTATGCGACGCACGAGGCCACTTTGCGAACTAATCCAAATTCCAGAGTTATCCGGAATCGACTATGCGAATTCGGCATGGCGGCGTATCAACAAAGGGGATACTCTTTGTTTACTGAACGATGTCCACACGGAAGCATCTGAACGTTTAGTCACGTCGAATAATTTCCTATCGAATCCATTTCGAGGGTTTTAGACGTTGCACAGCGAGGTATTTCACCGATCTAGTTGGCCAAAAGTCGATTTCGTCGAACTCATCCCAGATAGAAATCAATTATTAACTCTTGAAATTAAGTATTCAGGGAATAATAGGCTGTGAATTATTTTTTTAACGCTGCTATAAAACGCGTACGATCCGTCGAAACTTTCCAAGTAAAAAAGTCCAAGTTTAAAATTTGTATATTGACAAACAATTAATACTAGCTTGTAGTTCTTTCTTAAGAAGCGTAAATATGGATTTACGTTTAAGAATTGCTGGTTAGCATTATCAACTTGCTAATCCGCAGAGAGCGAACCGAATCAGTGATTCACTAGACAGAATCAATCCTGATTCTGAGTTGTAAACTGTATTAGGTATCACTACCCTAAATTTGATATACGTATCGCAGTGCACGGTCACAAGGTACACCACAAACGATCGTTACCATCGGATCCTAATTAATGAACACATTCCGACTGAATAGCCAAATAATCAAATAGCTAGACACTGAAACAAGCTTGTTAAGCTAGGAAAACACAGTGTTATGCATTAACAATGAATGTACCCTTCGTGTAGGAATATTAATACTCTACAGAATGGTAATTCTAAGAAGACTCATTAGTTTTATGTTATAAAAAGTTCAAGATATTTATCCAGTCTTACAATAAATTAATGAGTCCATTCGTCCATTGTTTTATCGAAAATATTACAGGAAAGTTTTGAAGGAAAACTGTTAAACACGAGTCTTTGAGATTAAATACTTTAAATAACAAGAAAATTTGAAAAACTGAGGCTCCTGAGTACCTTTTATTTATAGTAACTTCGTAGCCCCTAATAGCCTCATAATTTGCTGTTGGGTACAGATTTGCCCTACGATTTATGATTAAGGAAACTGGGAATAGCCATGATCATTATAAATAGACTGCGGAAGTTTATGCAAATGCATATTTTTATAAGAAATAGTTATAAGAATGGGACGTAGACAGAAATTTGTTTTGAAATTAGTCGTCTACCAGGTAGGCAGCTGCCAATGGGCTCCATATACAGGGTGTCCCAGGCTAAGTGATACGGAGCACTAACTCCAAAACTATCGGCCGAATGCGAAATTTCAAATATGGAAATTGCATGGTAAAATGGGGCTCATGTTTCAGCGAGAAGGAATTTTTGTTAACTTTGTTATTTAACGAGATATGATGGCCAATTACAATTCTAAAATACACAATTCTAAAATACACAATTCAAAAATACACAATTCAAAAATACAATTTCTTGAATTTCGGAAATCGACGAACGTTAATCGTGCAATTTTCCAGGTGGCTTGCGCTTAATCCTCGTAGTTTGTGTACACGTACGAGCTTATGGTTCCATTATTCGGCCAGTCAAGATAAGAGATAGCCCTGCGACAGGTGTCAGTGTCCTCGGATCGTGCGACCCTAGTTAGGCTTCCAATAGAGTCACGTTAGGCCTGGCACGAGACTAGGTCGAATCTGGGATATATCCAACACATGGGTGAGTCTACCCTGGTGTCCGTTTCCATCGATTAGCCTAAGTTCACAGCTCAGTGCTTCTGGTCGGCCTCTGTGCCTTAGCTGAGACCGCAAGGGGTTGATATGCTCCAATTGGAGCATTTTTACGACGTGCTTAAAGATGCCCATTCCCTTTATTGACTGAACCGTACATAAATCGACAAAAGGCGAGGTTTTTTTTTTTAGTAGTAATTATAGCAAATAACATTAAAATCTTGCATGGCTGAATATTTTAAATGTCGATGTTTCGACCATCTCCGAGTGACCTTCTTCGGTGTAACGTTTTAAAAATAATATATATATATATATATATATTTATCTTTTTTTTAATTTACGTTGTAATTCTTGTATTGTTGTAATTCTTGGTCCGTTTGACCATTGCGTTTCACGCAGCCTGCGAATCTTGCGTCCAGCTTAGTCAGTTCCTGATGTATGAGGATTCGCAAATAGGTGGTTCGTCCGTATTGTTCGAATGGTTAGTCGAACTGACAGAGAGTCCAGGAGCCACGACAGGTGTCAGTGGCCTATGCACGTGCGACTGCATATACAAGGACCGCGCGGTGGTTGTTTTGACGCGGCTATCTGTCAAACATTCGTGGTTCGCCATAGTTCTGTCACATGGTCCACACAGGGGATCCTCGGGGCCCCACGGTGGATGATTAACCACGCTTAACCGCACCGTACGACATGGTTTACAATTAATCATTGCTAGCGATGCCACCATTTGTTTCCTGTTAACGATCCGTAGTTGTCTAGCACGCGTGAATAGCTGATTGTTGTCAAAGACCGCATTGGTTTGGGTTCGTCGTTTTACATAATAATTACACTCGACCTATACAGGTCGAGGTTGCAGGATATATACAGGTTGCCACATTTAAACTGGGCCACTTGAATGTATCTTCCAATCGCGACGATACTGTTGTAATATTCAACAAAGGCTTTATTAAAATATTAAATGTGAGTTAAGGTACACAATTCGATTTTTCGCTTTCCTCCTTTCCGGCAATTTTCGTGGAGTTACTGGCTTCGGTAAATCGATATCCCGAACCCTTCGATTTTCATTTTACCACGGATTTTCTGGTTATCGACGCTTCATCCGCTCCTCGTTTGGTGCTAAAAGTTTTACGAGAATCACTTCTTCGAACTCTCATGCGTTTACCTTGCTGCATCTTACCAACAATTTTCAGATGTCTCTCGAAGACTCTGGAAAACTATCTTCCACGCCAAGTTACAGGTAATTCTGTTAGTTTCGTTTCTGAAATGCAATCTTTACATTCGAATTATCTTTCCATCTTTGATGTTTTCATTTGAAGTGTTTAAGGAGTAAAACCACTTTAGGATTTTCAAAAAAATCGATTTTTTTTTTTTGCTTAAATGATACTTTAGGATGATACAAATAATGTCGCCTCCATTTCGTATGAAAATGACAATAAAAAGATTGTTTTACGTTCTTCAATGTGTGTTAAATAAACCATCTGAAAAAAAATTCTATTCCATTTGTCACACTCCCAGAATAAATCGTCATGTTCAAATCGTGCATGTTCACTTTCTGCATGCAAATTACGAGAAACAGAGTACGGTATGAATTAAAAGTCCTTATAGTTACCTTTAAGTGATATTTCTACTAATTGCACTTCTGGGAACAGCCGTCAAAGCCTTTCAGTGGATCGAAATGTAATGGCATACGACTTGAGACAAATGAGAGCATTAGGTCCTGTTACAACTCTAGTTTACCCTCCTTTTATTGAAGTTCCTACGCGGTTATTCAAGTCGTTTATCATTTACACTACCATTAAGGCAAATACAACTTCTTGATACTATCTGTGGTAATATATTAGGTTGTATCGAAAGTTATTTTCTGTCTCTTATCGGATATTAAGTGTCCTAATGTCTTCTTAATGTCGCTTTCACGATTTATGCTCTCTAGCATGGAACAATAGTAGTTTGAAGAGAGTTAGGTTAGAAAGCTTCAAATCGTTGGGGTAAAACAGAAAATTTCATTATTGTACTGAAAAATAATGGAGCATCTATCTATTGACATCTATTTGGGATTTGTGGTTTAAAACTTTCAATCATTCTGGACCTTTCGGTTTTGAAAAGAACGACCTAATCAAACAATTATAATTGGTTAAAGACTCAATGGGTCCGAAACGTTCCCAATCCATGAGTCTCGAAACAGAGAATCTAGGATGTTCGATTGGAAAACTATTGTACGAAAACCTATTGATTTAGATTTTGAAAAGAACGACCTACTCAAACAATTATAATTGGTTAAAGACTCAATGGGTCCGAACGCTCCCAATCCATGAGTCTCAAAACAGAAAATCAATAATGTTCGAGTGAAAAACTATTGTACAAAAACATATTGAGATCGATAACGTGAGACTCCAAACACTTCTGGACCCCTTGCTCTTCGTTAATTTTAGTACAAAAGGTTCATTGAGAAAGACCGTTTTAGAGAAAAAAATGATAGATATTTGACACGTAAGAGAAACACACACACGCTGTACAAGCAAACACGCGGGAAGCTCTTGTGAGAGTTGGTTTTGGTATGCGTGGAGAGTGAGTTAGATCGGTCTGCGTGTCAGGAAAAGATGTTAGAGTGAATCAAGTTAAAAAGGCACGTGCGGGGCATTAATGTTGTCTTAATATTCCAATCAATTATTAAATATATTAATCACAAAAAGTGTCCAAAATTCGTTCCACCTTCCCGCAGCTCTCACTCTCAATACTGCGCTCGCGAGAAAAGAAATGCCAGAACAAAAGAAGATTCACGAATTTTCTAGAATGGCGCGTAATTCGAACATTTCAACACTCTCGAAAGAAACCACGCTCAGTCAACCGTAACCACTAGAAGTCGCCTCCGTCTGCTGTTTACGGTCCTAAATTATCTCTGCGTACATCAGCCACGGGGACCATTCGAGGAGCCAGTTGCATCTCTTGCCGGTGCCGTCGACACGTGGAAAAGCTAGGGTGTCCCAACGAGATACGGATCCCGGCGTCAAGGGGTTAAAGCGTTCGCGTTTGCCTGGCGGTGTCTGTAGTTCCCGCGGGGATCAATACCAGCCCGTACTCGTTATTAAATCGCGGACATTACGAGCCGACGTTACAAGCGTGACAACTCGACACATCGCGCGGATATCATCGTGCGCGTGCACACGCACGGACGCCCGGCGGCGCTTGCGATCGTCGTTGAGAAGAAATACGACCGTTCGAAATTGCACTCAATACAGATTGCACCGATAAGTACACATGGCCGACACGTTGCTAAGGTGGCCAATCGAAGTAGTTCCCAACTCGGGCCGATTTCTTCTTACCAGATTCTCCTTATCGATCATTTTTCTCGGGAATGGTGGTGGAGGAAGCGCCAAAGTTGTTATAATAAAAGATAAAATTGGAATGAAACATTTTCGGGTATGGTATACTGTATTGATATGATAAAATATATTTTTTGAAGTCTTGTTATGTAAGGTGTCCACATGAAAACTGATAGGGTTATAACACGACGTAAGTTGGAATAAGTGTATTTAATAAGAAGGAATACGAATACATATAGATGTATTATACACAATCGAGCACGTGCTAGTAGTAACAGCTCGTGATACGGACTAACTTAAAAAACATCGCGAGAACGCGCGTAGAAGAAAGAACAGAAGACAATAGTTAACGACGCGCATCGCGGCGATCAATTCAGACTGAACACATAAGGATCATAAGAGCGCTTTCTCACAAAAACTTTACCGACCGAAAGTCTATTAATCTGCTTTTTGCTACGGCAAAAATACGTGGTAGTACTTTGTTATGTATTACTGGGATAACACGAGGCGTTATTACTGGGATAAAAGAGGCGTTCGAAGATTTCGAGGGGGAAAGAGGGGGACGGTATTGGTTTTTGTTTGTGTGGTGTTCGGAAGCTCATTTGTAGGCAAGATATAATATTTGTAAACGTACTAAGAAAAGAATTAAACTTAAATACGAATTTATTTTACTCTGTAGATATTATAATAGAAACTTTACTTTCAATCATTTTTGTATTATTGTGTGCAGATTTTGTAGTTTTTTGCACATAAAAATTTCCTACGAATGCGTAAAACACCGCGCAGCATTGATCACGCTTCATTGCTGATTGAATATTTTCGTAATGAATAGCACAATTATAAATTAAAATTGATAATAATTTAGTGGACAGAGCTGAAAAGAACTGTTGCTTTACCTTGAACAAAATTTACCAGAAATTTTGCTTGATTACGATACCTTCCTTCCTTTTTGACGGGACTGTAAAAAGGAAAGACGTGACGTGTACGATCCCTCGGAGTCGAAGACACATCTGCGAGTGGTATTCGCGGCAACACTTGAACACTTCTCGAGGGTTGAACCTTTAAAGCTAACAGCAGCCAGGGTCCGATTTGTTTCCTTCAAGACCGGATTCCTGAGCCGCGAGATTGCTCGTTTCGTTTGTGAAAATCCGATACACGGATTCCAGGGGTCGGAGGTGTGAGAGAGAGAGAGAGAGAGAGAGAGAGAGAGAGAGAGAGAGAGAGGGTGTTCTCCCCGCCCTTGGATTCCTTTTCCCTCGGATCAAACCCACCCCGAACGTGCACTGTCGATGTAAAGTATTCCTGGGAAAAACTGTTATTGCTCTCCGTGCCCTACATAGAAGTCGTGGTCCTTTTCGTGTTCAACTTCAATTTCCACTGTGCTGCTGGTGTTCGACTGATGAAACCCTCGTTGGAAGGAGTCGCTCCGTGTCCTTTACGGTGATACTGCTCCCTTCATTTCTTCCAGGCGTCGCTTTGAAATGGTGAAAAGTTGAACTCTCTTCGCGAAACGAACGTGTCACATCATTAGCTGATATTTTAACGCTTTCATCTCGACGTAACGAAACAGGCTGCGATGGAAGTAATGTATAATGTACAGCGTTCGAAGAAAATTATTCGATATTTACGTAGTAGATAGTCCAGACTACGCTAAGTAACCTTAGGCCTTGTGTACGTGAGTTTGGATAGAGAGAGTTAGATAGAGTTGTGTAGATGAGATCTAGATTTTAGACTCTAGATCTAGAGTCTCTAGATTTTGTGTTTACGTTTGGCCCGAGTCGAACGTAGAAAAGGACAGAGAGTGAAAGAGAGAGAGAGAGAGTTCCGAGGACAAAAAGTAGTGGCAGAAGCGTATTAATCGGTTAGGATCATAATTACACTTTTCGCTCGCCAAGCATAAAAGGGGGAAACCAACCCCAATGGTGGAACTAGTCGTCTTGCATTTATGGAGTCAATACAGTCTTGCACTAATCCAATTTTTACTGTATATGCATTTCTAGCACACTCCCGTGTCTCGAATCGCTCGTAAGTTGCCTTCATTTGGACAAGGCCTTAGGTGGGTCGAAAGCTCAACCATTTCTGAGATCACTGCACTGTACGTTTTATAAAATACGTTCGTGTTAATGGGCTCTACTTTATCACGCATTGTGACGGCTTGGATCGATATCAACTACGTCAATGACCCTCCAAAGAGTACAATTTCAGCGATCATTGTGCTCGTTGTAACACGATATGAATGAAATTTGCTTTTATCGACTCGGCACTTACGAGAACGGCTGGTACGGCCACATTTTTCTTTATCGTACTTCACGTATAACATAGTAACACACAAAGGTCCCAAGAAGTACTCTAAGGTAATTCAGAAACATGTATTTACGTAATAAACAATAAATATAATTGAAAACATTCCCTCTTGCGTCTCTTTTGCGTTTCTTGCGTTTTTTGCGATTCTCAAATTAAAAAATATGTAACATACCGGCTACGACTGAAACAAACATTCAAGTTATGGCACTGAATCGACGAACTTTTAATGTCGATAGAAAAAGTTATAGGGAAATTCCGCGCTATTTAAACTCCGCAGATCTCTCAATTCGACTGTAAAACAAGTCCCCATAAATGTTTTCCACACAATAAAGCGGTGCTTCGCGTGGAATATTTTCTCTGGGAAATATTTCATATTCAACGGATACTCGAGATACTAAACATATTGCCTTGATTCGGTGCTTCCCTTATTGGGCACTTGTTTTATAAATATTGAATTCCGGATATCGCGGATATTGGGACAGGATGTTATCGCGGTAGTAAAATTTCAGCGCAATACTTGGGCTCGCGGAACCGTAAAACACCGTGGGACGATGTGCACGCGAACGAAGCCTTATTTTTCCCAGAGTTAAACGTAGGATAACAATATATCCGCGGACGTGCACGCATTCGGCGCTGAAGCATGAAGTTTTACGCGGCGAAGTGTCGAGAAATGTTTGCTTTATTGGGAACTTCTACGAGAGTTTAAAACGTTTCAGCGGTTACGAGAGGGAATCAGGGAACTTCCGAAAGTTGAAATTGAAATAAAGAACACCGGGACAGCTTTCCCAGCAGTGGCGCGAAACTTTTCTCGCTAATAGTGGATTCAACGATGACGAATCGCCACCTGTCGTCCGTCGCCGCTCGTATGAAAAATTAGGAAGGCTCGCGAGTGGAAAATAATAAGGGCCAATATGTGTCAGTCTTGTGACTAGCACTATTTATTACTAGAGGTGAAAATTAACGAACTTCACTCTCACGCGGATCAACAATTGCTATAAAATTTAAACTATTGAGGTACGAACGAAAAGAAAGACGTTTCCGGCGGGTACAAACGATTTTCAAGAATTTTTGTACTTTTACTCGATTGTTCCTAACTCCGGTAGTTATCCATAGATTTTCTTCAACGAAAGCTTGTTTTCTTCGTAAAAGTGCGATCTATACGTAAACAATACAAAACTGGACATAATTTGACAGTTTCTATTTTTGCATGGTGATGAAAGAAATTTTCGTGCTCTAGTTTAGCCGAAAAAATCGAAGTTCTCGTATATGTTGGCTCGTAACACTTAAACTATTGAACCAATTTCCAACAATATTACAAGCAATTGTTGGAAATTTGATTACCTTTAATATGGCATCTTGCACGATCAAATCGGTCGTTTCTAACTCGAGATATGGCCTAAAATGTGAAGGTATCCCAGAAAAAAGTCGAAAAAAATTCAAAAATTGATAGAAAAAAAACCTATCCATAGAAACACTTTTCAAAAAATTTACAAAAAATCGTAGCATTGGATGTACATTTTGGCTGTAAATAAGAAACGGGACTCGCAGCCTGAACTAAAATGATGATAAATAGTATTGATTTCGAGACTTATGAGTATCGATCCTTATAATAGAAAATTAATCCGCTAGAATGATCCAGCGTATTTATTAGGATGGCGAAATCGCGATACGCCGGTATAGAGAGAAAGGATTCGTAAAATTGCATTTGGCCAAATTGGATTCTGGCTTATCACAATATAACGCGATTAAGCCGCCGGAGTACGCTTTCAGCCCGAAGCCGAAGCCATCGCAGTCGAATTCATCAGCGCCGCTCAGAGACCGCTCGAATATCGAAGAGATCAGCAATGTATTTTTCCTGATCTCTTGTCTCTTCTGCAGATTTGATTTCCCGTTCTATTTTATTAACAATAGAATTTTAATCGAAACACGTACAATTTATTAATTCGATCCCTTCTCGATAAGAAACAGTTTTTAAATAATTTATATCGTCGTTAGTGTTTTCCTCTCAAAAATTACTTTTTAAGCTTCGTACACCACGTGTAATTATGTTTATTGCGCGGTGATATAAAGTGATCGTAATTAAATAATCTAATGAAACGTGTATTGTCGTAGTGACTGATTTCTATCTAGGTGGTTACTTTGGCGGTAGTAGGCTATTATTACTTTCTACCGAAGAATTAAAATATTTAGAATCTACAAAAACATTTACCTAATTAAATCATAATATGAGATAGTCTTACACGTATCACCAATTGAGTACGTGCATAATTTTTCCTTGCAAAATGAATAATTTTATTTTTTCCATCAATTTCGAACGTACTTGTTAATTATGACTAATTACAAAATCGTTTTCTTTGCAGGTAAGCAGTGTTACTGTGATGATTAATAGTCTGACTGGAGGAGACGGGTGTAATAGGAAAAATGATTAACGAATTCATGAGGTAACTTCTCCAAACACTAATACTTTATAATTGTTTCTCAACTAAATATGGCTTTGGACCTTCTGCAGCTCTCGTATCTACTTCTTTTCTAACAGTTATAATTAAAGAGCAACTCTAAAAAAATGAGCTCGTAAATAGCAATAGATACACAATATGCACCAAGTGTATCATACACTTTTCTTACTGAAATTATGAACGCTTCCGACATTCGAGGGAGAATATAAGACTACGGAAAAGGAAGTTAAATCGTAAGAGCAGCGTGGTAGATGAGGAGCGATCGCGGGCGGCTTTAGGCGAAGCACGTCGGATTAAGCAACGCTGCACTTGCGCGTGTTAACGACATCTTACTATGTATCGAGCGGCTCGATCTGGCCGTGAAAAATGACGCCATTTACGAGCACGATCTGGTGCAGCTTGGGGGATAAGTCCCGAACCGATACGTAAACTCGCTGAAACTCGAGCGAGGGTCATTCGTTCGGCTGCCTGACCACAAATTGAGCGGTTTGTTTCGTCCGGGGCGATCCGCCGATGGGAAAAGCCGAAAGAGTCATGTGCCTCGGGAACGAGTTTCCCGGGTGTCCGCCATTTATCAAGCCCGTTGGAAGAAATTTCCTTAGACAGTCCGTAAGTCCTTCTTGAGAATTTCGTGCTTACAGTTACAACTTTTGTGCCGAGGAAAGTTTCGCGAAATCCTCCGGCAAAAGTTTCTTGTATCGGGTTCCGCGAGGAGAAAAACTTTCCGGCCTGCTTACGGTCTGCGCGATTCGTAACCTATCCGATTGGAGATGAATATCGTTAGTGGTGTCGAATTTGAATTAACACGTTGAGATCTCGTTGAGTAGAATTTCAGGTACCGATTACGCTCGTTTGCCTGGGATTCTTTTTATGGGCCCAGGGTACTTAATCCACATAAATAATGTTGGATTAAGTTTGGGAAGCAAGGACATTGGACACTAGCGAATCCTTTGATTAAATGTATATATATATAATAGTATAAATTAATGCAACATATTGATGAGCGAACTTGCCACGCGGACGATCTAGAACGCAACGTACGTAACACAGTGCGGTGCGCGCAGACTCGGACCGCGGACTCGGCCGGAAGTCCGAGCCCATGCCACTTTGAATAAGGTTTTCCAACGAATAAAATTTAAAGTAAAAATTGCATAATAATGCACTGTTTATGCGCTCTTCAAATCCGTAAGAAACAAATTTTGCCCTCGCTCCGTTTAATGCGAAAAAATTTATTTAAACGGAGGGGTTGAGTAGGCTGCTAATAAGCACTCTCACATATTAATGATAAGCGATATTGATAGAAAAACATGCAGGATTTATGCGTGAATTATGCGCTATCGTATAAGAGTAATTTCGATTTTTGCGTTTCATCCCTTAAGGAACTTTCTTTCTGGTGCAAATCTACGTTTTGTCTCCTGACCTGTTAACATTAATAAAACGACATTATTCAATTATGCACGACAGATTAAGTGTTATTATTTAGATAATTTTAATTTTTGTGTTTTAATCCTAGTAATTTTATATGTTGGAATATACTGGAAAGAAAACAGCATCTCCTTTCTCACGAGATCAATTTTCGTAATAGATTTTAACGAAAAATCTAACAAAGAGCCTATCAATTTGGCAAGAACAGACCACACAGCGTCCCTTAATTTAACCCTCTGGACTCGAGGCATTTTTCTATAAAACAAATCCAATCCATTTTTATAATAAATTTCTGTAAAACCAAAAACTCTCTGGCGTGCAATCAATTGCGTTCAAGATTAACGTTGCCCGGCATTGATCGGAGGGTTCGAAACAGGCGTCCAGCGTGTTAATTCTGTCGTAGGAGCTGAAAAGTCGAGGACCAGTTCCAGCGATCGAAGGTGACCAAGGGTGGGATCGAACGAGTAGTAAATGCGAGGATTAAGTCGAGAGGGCAGCTCGTAAATCAGAAGCTCAGCCAGCTATGTCTGCGGTGTCGGAGATAATAACCATTTTGTGCTTCCATAGGCTCCGTTCCACCCCCGTCGTTATAAGCGATCTTACGACAAGGGAGAGGGAGGACCCATTCAATTAACTTCGTAAAACGTAAATCGAGACGCTCCCGCCTCTTCGGGTCTCTCCCCCCTGCCCTTTATCTCTATCGTTTTCCTATCATTGCTCTTCCTCCACGAGGTCTGACGTCTTGCTCCCCTAATTTTCCTCGCTCGAGTTCGCCGCGAGCGCAGCCTCGTGCTGCACCCACTTCGAGACACGCTTATTGTTTCATTTGCATATTCAACGCGTGGCACAGTTGTTGCGTATATTATAACGCATACCGATAGCGAGCACCCTCTTTATTATCTTTTCGGACTCTGAGACGGTTCGTAGAGCGTTATGACCTCGTGCTGTTGCTTTACATGCGTGTAGGTTGTCGCCGGATAAGTGTTGTGCATGCACTGTAATTGCTTAGGGCCTGATATCTGCGAAGAAACAAGCTTTTTCTTTAGCGGGTAGCACAAGCTTTACACTAGCGTTTATAACTGATTAGTATCAAATTAAGTTGAACTCGTATTCGAAGTCGTATTCTTGAACGCTTAGGTATGAAATGAGATGAAATCGTCTGAATTGAACCATCGAGGTTGAATGTTTTCCTGTCTGAAAATGTTATGTAGACACCAATAAGGGATAGTTGAATTACTCAAAGTCCTAACAAATGCTTCTGCGTCCAAAATTATCTTATCTCTTCGTAGTCTTAGATGGTAACAATTAAAAGTAATTGAGGAAAGGGACTGGTTTAGAATATTAAATAAATGCGTGTTTTTCAAAATACCAATAATTTTGGTTACTAACCCCCCTTCAGTAATCATAACAAAATGGAAAAAATAACACATTTTTTTATGAACGAATTTTATTTACTGAACGTATCCCCCATAAAAGCCACGTCGGGTCCAAAACGGGACCGAAAGTTGATATCTACTGTTTCATGTTGGTAATATTAATCCTAATACAAATTTGTGAAAATAAAATTAAAACAACTCGCGTACACTACAAAAATTTACACAGGGTTGCCCATCTGTAATCTGCCCTTCTACATACCAGAAATCGTATGTGTCATATGCTTAATGGTAATATGGTAAGGTCATGCTACAGTGCTACGGTGCTGTAGTTACGCACCACGTTATATATGCGGCGTTCTTTGCGTAAGAGTGAATGAAAATGTGAAATAAAATTTAAATAAATATCCTACATTTTAAACATTCGTGGGTTACAGATGCGATTTAGTACCACTTAGCTTACGTGTCTGTTTACTACTGTCTGTTTCTACTGATGGTGAAGTTTTCAAATGATAATATTATAATTCGTTATAATATTATCTATTTCAACTGGATGTAACTGTTTGAAAGGTAGCGAAAATTACAATAAAGAATTTACTACTATTGTGTGTGACCATCAATGCAAGTAGAAATAACCAGTAATGGTCAGACGCTACGCTATGTCACAAGTAGAAACAGACACTAGTGGACGGACACGTAAGCTAAATTGTACTAAAACGCACCTGTTTGTTGGTACCAGTCATTCTTGAATATTTCTCGTTCGTCATTGTGAATTTAAATTAGCTTTCGATTAAAAAACCTTGAAAGATTCAATAGTTTTATTTTCCATCGCCATCGCAATGCTATTAGTTTGAATAGCTTGTCTTCAGTACGTTACAAAGTTTAACGAATTTACAGTAATCGCATTAATTTCTGGCGACGTTCATGTACTCCTTCTGAATTCCCTATTACGAACCAAGCAGATTCGGTGATTTATGCAGATTGTTTTCCTAATATCCGAGTCCTTTAAGGAGTCATATGTATTCTGATTGGAGCACCGATTTCGTCAACATCTACGGTCCCATTACGCGTTAATCTTCTCCGAGAAACGTGATGTTCATGTTGAAATTGGCGAAGGAACACGGAAAGGCCAAATTCTCGAAATCCAACTGACAAATCCCGTAAGTTGTTACCTCAGTAATGCCATTTGCGTATTCGCTTGGCTTTCGAGTAGTTTCGGTTCTGTAATCGATAGAATGCTGAAAGTACTATGTAATATTTCCCATTCAAAATGGTCCAGAGATTTCCTCAACAGCGAGTCTATTAAGGGTATATTCTAGTCTAGAGCGTCAGTGGTGAGTTCGTTTTGAGGATATTTTTTTTTGATACGTAAGGGTTTTGCACACATATTTATTTCAATTTTAAGAACGTACACAATTTGTTCAAGGTAAAAATAATCAAAAGTAAACGCAGTGCAAGAGGTTTTCTGCTTATCCGAAATGAAAAAATCACGAGACATCTTTATTAATATTAGCGTTGCTAAACACTTCAGAATTTGAATATTGATTTTTTGTATTTTTTGGTCTTGGTATATTAAAAAAAAAATATTGAGAATAATAAGATTATTGAAAACCATGGTTGAAGCGATAAAGACACGTGTGCTGAAGATTTACTTCAAATTTGAAGTCATTAGGTCAACTACACTGCTTCAAATAATTCGTGGGACACTTTGTCAAACCGTCGTAACCATGGGAGTTTTCAACCGATTGGAATTAAACTCCGTGAGGAGTAGATGAAAATTGTGTAGATTGAAAAATTCAAAAAAAACCTTTAGGGCAACTCTCTTTGATGCCCTCTAAAAAATGCACCCCTTGAAATCCCACTCGGACAAATCCATCCCCCACAACCCCCCACAACTGCAAACGTTACGAGTTTATAATATAATTTCTAACGTTTGGAAACAGCAAATTAAATAATGTGACATACCATTGAATTCGTTTCGAAAAAAGCTGTCGTCGCATTTAGCGACCTTTTGCTCGTTAGTAGGAACGTGTTTTCGAACAAAATCTGGCGTGCACGGACAATTTATTGCTCGAGCACGAGCATCACATAGATGGGACTTCGCTTTAAGAGATGGCGTAGCAGTCACGTCCACGCGACGTTCGCCCAGTCCGTATCGCTGTCTTTAACTAGACGGGGACTGAAAGG